AATCCTGTATTTCTCTACAAATACTAACTCTATTTAGAGAGTGTAGCGGTATTTTTTTTTTTACTTTAAAATATTTAATCAAATTTTCACAACATAAACTTAATTTTAAATTGAAATAACAGAGAAATGCGTACAAACTTTGTTTATAAAGTAAAAAAATTAACACATCTTTTTTCTTGAAATAGCAATTCTGAAAAGAAACAAAATCAGTATCTCTCACAGTGAAGCATCTAATCCAAAACAAAATGACCATAACATTCACAGCAACAAAACCAAACTTCAGAAGTATAAAAGCAAACAATTAATCAAGAATTAAACCATCTGCCAAGCCAGTACTCCAATTAGGCCAATGGCCAACACATAATCAGTCTTTCCAATTCTCCAAGAACCACTGGACTCAGGCTGGTCTGGCGATCCCGACCAAGATGTTGGGCTTGATCCAACAAATGGTACACTCATTGGGGCCGGCGCCGGCGCTGGTATCATCTCTGGGTGAACCATGACACGCACAATGAGTTTCTGTCCAGCCTTACAATGGCCCGATTGACCGCTTATGAAGTAGAAATAGCCGAATCTATCGAACCTAAACGTAGTGTTGCCATCAGTGAACCTCGAGAGCGGGTTCATAGTGTTGCATTCGTCGTAATGGCCTTTGTCGACGACCAACAATGAGTCTTTCTGGTACTTGAAATCTATGTGTACACAAGATAAAAGTTAAAAATATAGGATTTTTTTTTATTAGGCTCTAGTTGGAGAGAGATTATTACATGCGGAGTTCGAACCTTCTAGTTGGAGAGAAATTATTACATGGGGAATCCGGACTTAAGCTACATTCAAACTCCGCACGTAATATTTTTTCCTATTTGGAGCAACTGCAACAACATTCTAAAAAGAATACTATAAAATTATTTTAAGAAAAAAAATTATAAGTTTTTATAGGAATTCTAAAAAAAATAAATAAATAGAATCATAGCTTTTTCTTACTTCTACCATTTCTTTTAGTAGATTTTATTATAAAAATTTATTTCTCATCACAAAAATTTAGAAGAAGAGCAAAAAATTATAATAAAATAAAACTATATTTAATGTCTGAAAAATAAAATATGTAACTGTCGAGAAAGCCGTTGAAGGAGAAGAAAGAGCATACAAAGGGAGTCGCCGACGTGGAACCGGTTCCGGCCGGCCCACTGGTTGTACGTTTCCGACTCGAAGCCGGTCGGCTTCCTCCATCCCAGCGGTCCACCGACCCGAAACTGGGTTGCCGTTGCGGCGTCTTTCAGAAAAGCAGAAGCGGAGAGGAGAATGAGGAAGACGAAGAGCTTGACAGAGTGAAGAGGAGAGCGAGAAGCCATTGGAATTTTACGTCTGGTTATCGACAGAGAAAGGGAGGAAGAGAAGAATGAACTGCAAAGTGGCTTTTTCTCCTTCAGCCAACGCTTAATAGCCTGAAGAACGGTGAGGGAGAGTGGGGACGTGCATGCATGGAATGGCTTAATGGGATTGACCAAATCAACTATGGAAACCGCTAACAACTGTTTGCATTAGGGACGGTTTATTATTGTGGGGATCATTAAGAAAATTTTGCTGTATTAAATTATAAAATCATATGCAAAGCAAAGGACTAATCTTGATTAGCAGGCTAAAAATTAACCTGATGAGGTTTACTGGATCCATGAACCAGCTTAGCATTTAATAACCAAATTGATAATAAGGTTGAATTGAAATGACAATATTTTAGGGTTTGGTTAGGACCGCTGCAACATTTTTAAGAAAATCGGACAACGGCTTTATTATAACTACCAGATATCAGCAAATTTAGGCTTTGTTTGGGATGATTTTCTTACTGCTTCTTAAAACAGTTTTCTAGTATAAAGATTTTAATTTTAAAACTAAAAAGCTGTTTTAAGAAGCAATAAAAAAAGCCTTCCCAAACAGAATCTTAGTTGCAATAAGCAACTTTGTGCTGTAAAAATTTAGAAAGCAACAAGAAAGTAATCATTAAATGAAATTATATTTACGTTCTGAAAGGTAGACGAAGACCAAGCTGCCCCAAACATACTATTAGGCTTCGTTTGGGATGGCTTTTTTGTTGTTTTGTAAAGTTGCTTCTTAGTATAAAAATCTCTTCAAAATAGGGAAAGTAATGGTCTAAAACTATCACAAACGAAATGTTGGGACGACTTTATTACTGCTTCTTAAAACAGCTTTTTAATACAAATATTTTAATTTTTATATTAAAAATTTATTTTAATAATTAGAAAAAAAAATCATCTCAAATAAAACCTTAATTATAAATTTTGTATAGACTCAAGTCGAGAGCTATTATAATAATCAACTTTTATGGAGAGAGGATGACTTAGGATTGTGATATCATTATCATTAATAATATGGGATGTTAGGCATCTGCCACGAATGATGAACTTAATTACACCTTGTGCATGTGGTGTGCCCTCGTTTTCATTTAATGATTTATGGTATTAGAATTGCTTGAAATAAGTAATTTTGTTGTGTTCATTTGTCTCAAAAAGATTTTTCTTTAGATGAGGAAGATATCCTCGTTATTCTTTTGTTATGATTTTTATTGATATGAAGTCCTCGTAAATTTTCTGATCTAATCAATGCATGAAATATAAATTTTTTTTTCTCAAAATATAAATCGGTATTATTCTATCTTGTTCAGTTAAATAATAATTTGATTATATTTATATATGAATATACATGCATGTGTGTATATGAATATTTACAAGTGTTTATATATGTATGTATGAATATATAGATTGTGTATATTTTTATTCATATATTTATATTTATATGAAATATGTAGCGGTATCAAAATGGGTTTTTGGGTCGGGTTCGGGTTGAACTCGAGATTAACCCGGGTTCAAATCGGTTGACCCGAACCCAAGCTAATTTTATAAACGGATTGGAAATTCAAACCCGGACCGAACCTGCCGGGTTACTGAGCTGACTTGACCCATACCGCAAACCCGGAATATAGTCAATGCAACGAGTTCAAGCGCAAGCGGGTGTGGGGTGCGGTTGCGAGAGCAAGCAAGCGCGTAGTCCGGGTACAGAGTCAGGATGTGAGCACAACCTGCACAGGGTGAGGGGCGAGCACCGAGTCCGGAAGCACAGCTTGAGCAATGCGGGCGCCAGTCCGAGTGCAAAGTCTGGGCGCAAGCGCGAGAGGGCTCGCTACAATGGAGAGAGCTACGGGCGGTTACAATGTTGGATAGAGTGCGGGCATGAGCAGGAGCACAACGGCCTATGAGAGTGCGGGGTTACGCTGAAGGCGGGCTTTTTGTATCATTTCGGGTTTATGGGTCAACCTAAACCGGCCAGACCCAATTTTAGAAACGGGTTGGAAAACGAAACCCGAATATTACTCGTATGGTAAAGAAGTTAACCCGAACATGAAAATTTTCGGATCGGATTTTGCGTGGAGTCAAATACTGATCCTATAAATATGTATATATACATAGCAGCAGGTATATTCTATATTATATATGACTTCAAAAAAATTAATGTGTGAATAGTTTGTGTTCAGGTCAATAAAATAATTAATTAAAAAGCCTATTTGATTTAACTCTGCAAAAATTCTATAAATAAGGTGTAGATATTTACCTTTATTTATTCCAAAAATATGCATTAACTAATAAGCTGAGTACTCATAATAGCCCATCTTTAGTTATTAGGAGATTGATTAATATTGCCTTTTATACGATAAAAGGCCTTGGGACCTTGTATTGCAATATTTTGTGCTTGCCAATGTGGATAAAGGGCATTTACTAGGCATTTGAAAGATAGATCCATCTCCATATTAGTTCATCATTTTGTACTAACCATATCTTTTATTTAACTTGCTTTCCCAAACATCAAAGCAAACAGCCTCTTTTGTGACTACCCTAAATATGAGAAGGGTCTTTAATGGTACCTTATGGATAATATTCAATTGTGAGTTAGGCTTCGTTTGGGACGGCTTACTTATTACTTCTTAAAACAACTTTTAGTACAAATTTTTTAATTTTTATACTAAAAAAGCTGCTTTAAGCAACAATAAGAAAGTCGTCTCAAACGAAACCTTAGTCTTACTATTTAAATAAAAGACATCATAACAAAAATTTATCATAGTTTAAAATAATTGAAATGATGCAAATTGAGACAGTAAGACTTGCACTAGTTCAACTTAGATTAAGGTTTTGTTTGGAACGGCTTTCTTCCTGCTTCTTAAAATAATTTATTAGTATAAAAATTAAAATTTTTATACTAAAAAACTGCTTTAAGAAGCAATAAAAAAACCGTCTCAAATGAAGCCTAAAGGTGGGTGACATAAAAGTGTTTGTATCTAACAAAATAGGCAATAAGTGACAATTCCCACATAATAATATGAAATTAATATGTTAGCACATAAATGAGAGTACCACATAATAAATTGTCATGATGTCAAATCACATGGTCACAAAGGTTCCATTTGAGATAATATTTTTACAACTTTCTACAACAATTTTGTAGCATAAAAAATTCTTAAAAAATAGTGAAAAATAATAATGATAAAAAACTATCACAAATGATATTGTGAGGACTAAATCAATAATCAAATTTTAGGCATTATGAATACAACCAATTCAACAAAACTTATAATATGAATGAAAGGAAGAGATTGAAACAGATTTTAAATGTGCTCAAAAAGGTTTCTACATCAATGGCCATAAATGCTTAGCAGATACCTTACTGTAATTATAAATCAGATTTGATGAACATAAATTCATTTTTCATGAGATATTTATAATTGATAAGAAGCCCCTCTGATAGGCTACTATCTCATGATTCAGATGTTATTTGATCTATAAATTGTGATGTGTGTCAATAAATCTTAGGCTTTGTTTGGGACGGTTTTCTTACTACTTCTTAAAGCACTTTCTAGTATAAAAATTTTAATTTTTAAACTAAAAAACTGCTTTAAGAAGCAATAAAAAACCGTCCAAAACGAAGCCTCTCAATAATTTTTAAAAATTCTCAAGCGCAACTAGCTCAGCCAAAAACTTCTTATCAGGGTAGACATTATCAGCTTTCATCCTCTCCCTGAGCCCATAAGCTGGAGTTTTGGCATTTTTGTAGGCCTTGGCTAGAAGCAGATACTGATTTACCCTACTGGGGTATTTTGCCTGTCTCAACCTGTCAAATATCTTCTCAGCATGATGGACATTACCAACTTCTGCATATTTATCCAACACAGTGATATATGAACTATAGAGAGGTCTACTTCCAGTAGGCCGAGCTGCTGCATTTTGCAATACAGAATCAGCTTTCTCCACTTCACCAGCTTCAGCAAACAGCTTTACAAGTGCATCCCAAGTTAAAGGACCAATCCAACAGCCATCATCAGACATCTTTCTAGCCAAATCCTTCCCCTTGGATACAAGCTTATGGTCTGCATAAACTTTCAGCAAAGCATTGTAGCTTCGAGGAGGGATCTTCTTCCATTTCTTCGTCATTTTTTCGAAGATATTCTCGGCTTCCTCTACAAATCCTAGTTTTCCCCAGGCCTCTATAGCAGACGTAAAATCATCGATACAGGCGGAAGCTTCACATGATTTCCACATCCTCCTCACATCATCAACTTTACCAAGTGAAGCATAAAGAGGAAGCAGAAACCTCCATGCATCAGAGTTCTCCCTGACACAATCATCTTCCATCTCTTTCAGTATTGCTTCGGCCTTCTCATTGCACCCTGCAGAAATGTAATGGCGTGCAACCATAGCTCGGAGAGGGTTATCAGGCACAACACCTTCAGCCTTCATGCTCTCCACTATCTTTTGGACGCCTGCAATGTCTTTAGAGAGACCTTTCGCGTCAATCAAAATCATGTAGGTGAACAGAGATGGTTTAATGGTATCCTTTTCCATCATTAAGAGGACATCAGGTATCTTCCTACGGTCAATCCTTCTGTAAAGCAGCAAGAGTTGATTGTAAGAAAAAGAACTAATTGAAAAGCCAAGGTCTCTCATTCGGGAAAACACTTGCTCTGCTTTCTCAACATTACCAGCTGCAACACAGTTAGCTAGGAGAGTTCTGTAGACCACCTCTCCCCTGAAGGTTTCCGGAACTTTATGGATGTAAGTTTCAGCCTTATGAAGGCCATCAGTTTTAGCAACCAAATCAAGATGTGAAGCATAATCTCGCTCCACAAAATTGAGACGCTTAGTTGATTCCAACCACTCCACAAACTGCAAACAACATGAAATAATTCTGATAAAATAGAAAGACAGTCGTCAAGATAACAATATATTTCCCTGATGTCCAAGATATAAGAAATTCTTCTACAAGCAGAAAAGCACTAAGTTAAAGAGAAGCTTATCTGTCATCACTTTTAACGTAATAGAAAATTAACTTCCAAGACCATGAATGGCAACAGGATATTGGAGAAGCCTAAAGCCAGCATAGTAGATGGAGTTCTGAAAAGATATTTTGTTTCGATTGACCGATACGTGATGATCTTGGGTGACTCCTAGGAATCCATAATGCAGTGAATCTATTATCCTTAAAAGAGTGCCATATTAGAAACAGAGAATTTAAATTGGTCATTTAATTCGCATAAAAACAGAGAATTTAATTTTTAATTAAATAAATTTGATAAATTGAAGATAACAAGAAAATTGTTAAATTCTAACTATGGAAAGATTTAGATTGTACAATTAGATAAAGTTTAAAAGAGTGCCATATTAGAAACTTGAATGTTATTTATGTATAAGTAAAATAAAAGTGATAAGTTAACAATCCAATTATGTTGTTAAATTGGTCATTTTTAACCAGAAAAATCATAGTTACCAAGTGACATCAACAGGAAGTTCTTTCATTCACTCGCCAGCATTTCTGAGTTTATATATCTTCCATTCTTTTCTACAAAGGAAGCTAAATTGATTCATCAATAGCAAATAAAGGGCAAGTACACAACACCAAATTAACCTCAAGGTATAAATCATTGCCCCATTCCTTTGAGGTGGTTTTCATGATTGGAAACCATAACTGCAGGTTCACAAAGGCAATATTAAATTGCCCATTGATCACCTCTAACAACAACCTAATCCTTGAAGCAACCAATAAGGAACAATATAATCTATGCTTACCAAAATCAGGTTGGTTTACAGAAATATATGAATAAGGATTTAGCTTCAATGTCATACCAGGAAAACTGAATTTGCTTGCAGTTCATTTAGTCAAGATTCATGTCAAACATGCAGGACACTGGTTAAGCAGGCAAGAATTTGCACAACATTCATTCCTTCTTTAGAATATAAAATAGATATATGAAGTATAATATAGTCTACATCATTCAATTCTTCTTATACATAATAATTTTCTTAAAGAGAAAGAGGAGAGGTTTTTTTTTCTAGAAGTTTTCAAGTCCACCATCATCAAAATTTCAAACTAAATCACGCTGTAAATTCTCTTTGTTGCATGAAAACTGAGGGACATAGAGTTTCATAACTTTTCATATTGATTTGACATCCATCAAAAAGAATTTGTTGCTAATGAAGAACAACCAAGAAAAATGAATAAAATTCAGTTTATCTATGCATGAAATTGATTAAAACTATCAATGTATGGTAAATATTATTAAGCGTGTTCATGCAATCCCAAGTGAATTCAAAGAACTGAAAAAAATCATAAATCTCGTCTTTAAGTGTTGAGACCAACAATCCTGAAAAAAAATTGTAATTATGGATAAACAAACAATTTTAAAAATGCATCAAATCTTGTACGAAATTAATTTTGATGTTGTTGAAGAGGATGGGCAATCATCAACTTGGAACTGACACCATTTGTCTTGGACTTTAAGAATAGACAATCTCTCTCTCCCTCTCTCTCTAACCTCCCTCTCTCTCTCTCTCTAAATTATTTACAAGTTGAGATTCAAAAATTTTCATAATAATTTAACCATTCACTAAGAATATAAAAAAATGATGACCGGCCAATATAAAGAAGCCCTCTTAAGAGTCTCATTATACTCGTATATTTCATCAATCAAATTCATCAAATATACTCTTAATATCATCAGGAGTACAAGTACTTAATTCGAAGTCATTTAAAAGTATCTAAGGGGTTGCAATTTAAAATTTGATGTATTCAAAATATGATGTAAATATTGTGTTTGGTTGCTTACAAAGTAAAATTAATATTTAAACTGCAGTAGTGGTGGTGGCAGTGGTAGCAGTGGTGGTGGTCAGCAATAGGGGTGATGGCAGCGACAACTGGCAACGGCAACAATAATGGCTATAAATCATCATCTAGCAACAGTAGCAAGTGGAAGCGTCGATATTCATTCTCATTTTCATGGGTTTTCATATTCACTATAGATGCCAGTACATGTTCTATTACTTGCCTTTGTTTCCCTTGTTGGACAAGCAAGCTTTTGAATTTGGTTTGCTATCTTGCGAGTTTGTCCAAGTGTAGGTTTTTCTCCTTAATGTAATTTTTTTATTTAAATCATATTAATGGGTTCATGTTTTAATGTACTTCATTTATCATTATTATCAACTGTGATAGATGTAACATTAGTTTGATTTATGTTTCTCTTTTTGCCTTATGGTCAGTATCATATTTTGTTTCAATGATTTGTTATATTGTTGACTTACCAGTCACCAACCATGTGTGATCATTTTGCCATTATGTATAAAAATTTTACATAACTAGATACATACTCTAGCGGACATCAGATGAACTGCTCTTATTTGCACACAATAGAGATTATTGAGAACTACAACTCATGCTCATTTAACTACAAAATTAAAAAAATGTAAGCCAACATTATTTTCGGTGCATTATTTCTCTTAAATAATAATAAACATGCAAATAAAAGCTATTAAAATATTTCTAAAGGCACACCTGCAAGGCCTTATCATACAATCTTCTCCGTCGAAGGTAAATCATTGCAACAGAGATTTCACTCCGATCCAATATATTACCATGCTTAACCCAATCATTAAGAGTAATACTAATAGAATTGCATGGAGCTTTCATTAGAGCCATGACCAAAGGAGATGCTACTTCTCTATCTCTTGAGCGTTTCTCAACTGGTTCTATTGAACTAGCTTTTGAGTTTATTTCAGGCAATTCCTCTTGAACTAATTGCCCTATATTCATTCCATCAACAATACTTCCATTTTCATTATGGTCAAAAGCTGCATTAGAATCTGAAAAGCCCTGCTCATCAAGTATATGAATTGTCAAATCTCCAGCCTGTGAAGAAAGCCTCCGATACATAAGATTGGACCTGATATTAGAGAAAGGTCCAAAGAAGAATTTCTTTTTGTAAATACATAGTCCATAATACTGGTGATGTGTCCAACTTTCACCATTTGAATGCCCCAAGTTGTAGATCGATGCAACTGGGTTGCTGGCACATGATACTAGAGCAACCATATTGCAAGAATCATGAATCCCGTAAACAAATTAATATGTGATATCAAAAATTGATGTCCTTTTTTTTTTTAAGTTTGTTTAACAAGTTCATTTATCTTATCTGATGAGTGAAGGACAAGAAGAAAATAACATTCTATACAAATATTAAATTTTTACATAGCCAAATGTTACTTAATTTCATTTGAAAATGCGATTTCACTCTCTAATATGTTATTTCTAGCAAAAAATGTTTTCAAGATAGACATTCAAACTGATCGAAGTGTCATCCATGAGTACAAGCCAATCCCTTATGCTTTGGAGGTGCTAGCGAGTAGTGGTGAGTAGTGCTGGTGGTAATGGAGAAAAAGTTGGTGGATGATGATGTAGCTTGGGTAGGGTAGAAAGCAATGTAGAATCATCAGATTCTACAAATTTTTAGACTGTATATAAGGTATTGAGTCTAAAAAGCACAAAACAAAAATTGTGAGATTTTTATGAGAAATTCGAGGAATATGCATTAAATATGTTCGGGAGGACAGAGCGGGTATTGTATCTAAGAAATCGTTCTTAATGTAGGAATAGTTGGCTCGGATAAAAAAAGATGCGGATAAAGAAAGAAGATGAAATGGAGATGATGAGGAATTGCGCTTAAGTTACTTGGTGGATAAAAGAAGGGAGGCATGTGCTATTCCCCCCCATCCCCCCATACAATGCTTACAGAACCCAAATAGAGTAAGAAAGAGAAGGGTGAATGACCACCATAAGTGAACGAGGGGATGGAACGCATCTTGCTCGCTAATTTTGTATTCTTAAATCATCCATTGATATTCTCTTACAAGCTTCATTTGTTTATAAGAGGATTTAAAGTGATGAAAAAACAAAAGGAAAGAACCAAAGGAAGGCAATAAAAAAAATCAAAATGGTCGTTTAAAAGATGTTTTTTTTTTTTTTTTTTTTTTCTTTCTCTAAGATGGACCACCATTATACTAATTTTCTACAAAATAGTACATCCTCACAACAAGGCTAAGCTCCAAGATTTTTTTTTTCCCCTTCTAAAATTTTCCACATAAAAGTCAGTGTATCTTCCATGGTATATGTGAACTGAAAAAGCTCTAAACTAAGACAAAAAATGTACTCAAACTCTATCATGTCCTGGAAGTCGTTCTAGTATGCAACAAGATTAGCCAATTAATAGAAAAATGCCCCAACTAATAACCTTGTTTAATCCGGTTTGATGAAGAATAGGATCAACTGCACTGCAATGAAAAATTGAGCCTCTTGACCGACTTATTAGAAACATAATATCATAATATGATATCAGTATATGGCCACATATGTAGCGGCACTTTACTGTAACTAAAATCTATTTATAGGATGTAATCGGTGAGAAGCATAATAAGAAAGTTTTCAGTTTCTGTCTTCTTGTTTAGTCTTAAACCCTCTTCTTCTTCTCCCATTCTTGTTCTTTAAACTTCTACATGGTATCAGATATGGATTAAAGATCCAGGGTATTCATGGCTTCATCATCGTCGACTACCCAACATTCCGATCACCAGGAAACAGCGACGTCGGATCATGCCGAAACTGCATTCAACCTGAAGTTTGTGCTCGCAAATCTCAAAAACTTCGTGCAGAATCCGTTAACTACTGAGAACTACTCGGTATGGCGTTCTCAAATCGCAAAAATCTGTCGAGCGAATGGCTTCGAGTCGTTTCTTGACTCGAACAATCCGACTCCGGATAAATTCATAACCAGCCAACTTCTAGGTGCTACAAACATAGTCGCAACCTCCCCACCATGATAAGAACTTAGTTATCACATGCTAAAACTTAAAAGAAAACAAAAGACTCCATCACTTTGAAGCAAGAACATTAATTCAATGTCAAGACAAATGAGATGTTCTACTGAAGAAACATAGGGCAACGGGAAGGAAATATGTAACCTCGCAAGATTCGCAGTTCTGCCGAGCGCCCTCATAACTTCTGGACTATGCGAGAGCTGAGAAAACGAAGAAGAACTGGAACATAAACGGATGCCCCAAAAAAAAACGGAGTAACAGTAAATGAACCCGCATCTCCCCTTCCGAAAACCGCAAGCACAGTTGAATAAAAACCCTAATAAATGCCTGCATCAGCTTAAAAAGTAAAATCCCAATTCATCCGGACAGCATAAAACTTCGATTTTGGGGGTTTAGCATGTTGGCAAGGAAGAACAGGGAACGGTAAAGTGACAATTATCAAACAATAAAAAAAAATGGACACCCCATCTTTATTTCTTAAGAACAGTGCTTTAGTTGTATTAATTTTGAAATAAAAGTAATATTATTTTTTAAAAATTTAAATATATTGTATTTATTTTTAAAAACTAAATAATTTTGAGACTTTTTAATTAATATTTTATCAAAATATTATGACCTAAAATTGCTCTATATTAGGGTTATGATTTGATATTCTACTTAGAGTGGAAGCCTAATTATTATATTTTAAAAATAAGTTTGTGTATGATTGATGTTATTTTATTTTGCAAGTTTTTTAAGTGAAAGAATATTAAAAAAGATGGAGATAGATTGTCAGCTTAAAATTAAAAGAAAATATAGAAGAAATGCATATATATTAGTAGCAATTTATAAAAAAATAAAAATTGTTTTACGTTAAAATTGATAGATAGGGTAAAACTCTTAAATTTGACCTAGTCGAAATGATTCAATTAGTATTAATCATATATTACAAAGAACGTTAATCATCATAACTTGGTGAGGCATTAATACAATATGATATATACAAAGTGTTAATATATCTTCCATGTTAGAATAGGAGACTTTAGATGCTTGAGTTATCATCATATGATTGTGGGCGGCCATCTCATCAGCTTTCCTTATAGAAGAAGAGAGTGGGTGATCATTAAGAAAACATTGAATTTTGGTAATTGACAAGCATTAGGTATCAGTCATTGAGAAGTGTTAGATGGTGATAGATAATATGGTTCTCCTTATGAAAAAAAAGAGAATAACAACCAAAAAGGGCTTCTTACCTCAATAGCTAACAAATAAATAAATAATGACTAAGTAAAAATATCAGGCATCGGGCAACGAATGGTGGCCAACATAATTACACTTTTTTTTAAAGGATAACCATCGATTAGGAAGGCTATGGTCGAAATTCAAATACTTAAAAATATTGAAGATTTGGAAGGATTGAACGATGATCGATTATGAATAACTTAATAATAAAAGATATTGGGTGATGGACGAATATTTTCTTGTTTTCTCTTCTTATATGTGAAAAAATCGACACCCATGAAGGCACACATTAGATGTTTAGGGTTGGGAGACATCAGACATTAATAGGCATCGATTTATGTAATGTCAAATACAGTGTGTGATGATTGATGGTATGCTCTATCATTCCCTTATATTAGGGATAAAGACAACCAAGAAGGCTTGTGACAAAGGTCGATGGCTAATAGTCATTTGATATTGACTGGTGCTATATTAAAATTAGCTGGTACCATCAAGTATTGGGCGATTGTCAATGTCTTGCACTATTGTTCCACTTATAAAGTAGGATTGAGCGTTAAATGTAAATGGTTGATTAACATATAAAAAATAGTAATTTGCATGTGCAAATAAATAGATGATAAGGAAAGTCAAAGGTTTAGTAACACTGTGAAGTTTGACTTGACGTTTCTCCTTATAAAAAGAGAGTTTGAATGGCCTAGATGGTTGGTGTCGATCATTGGTAATTAATTGACATCAAGTGATGGTGATGAGGGCATCCATGTTGGTCATCAAATGGCTTTGGAGTTGGTTTGTGATGGGTGATAGTGTTGAGAAATAATAGGCGTTGATGTTGATTGACAATCCATGTCTAGCAATGGTGTCAATTAGATCCAATATTGGTCAAATGTTGATGTCAATTATTGACCAATAAGCTATGGGGCTGTTTGGTTGCTTGAAAAAGAAATGCAGTGTAAAGTAAATGCAATGTAAAGTAAATGCAATGCATTCTAAATACTTTGAGCCTGTTTGGTTGTATGCAAAATAAACGCAGGAGAATTGTTTCCCTTGTTTGGTTAGGTATATCCAGAGTAAAGTAAAAGCATTTTTTGTAATAATTTCTTTTAGCATTAAAATAAATATATTTATAAAAGCAGTGTATTTATAATTTGTATTATTTGGTGTTATAAATTTTTTATATATATTAAATTTATTTCAACTAATATTTCCATTATTTCACAAGGAAAAAAGTTTTGGGCAAGGATATTATGATCCAACTTGTGATCAGAATAAATTTCAAAAAATTAAATCTGTTTTGATATGAATGTGATATATGACTAAACATTCAAATTTTGTATTTTACTCGACTCAAAATAAATTCAATGACTTTGAAATCCATCGTGATTAAATTTTGATTTGAATATTCTGACCAAAATATTTTTAGCCAAAACAACTAAAAAAACTGAAACATTCTAAAACAAACAATGTGCACTTGCAGCCTGTGCATTAAAACTAGTTCATATAAAAACTTGTTTAAATTTCATAACCTCCTATCTTTCTTCTGTTTAAAAAATGTAGTTTACCTCCAAAAGCAGCACTAGCTCCAGAAAACAAAAGAAGACATGGAACCTGTCAATAAAAAATAGGCATCTTGAATACTCATAAGTTAAAATAATGGTTGAGAAATTATATGAAATTTCATAACATAAATCACAGAAATCAAAATAGGCATCTTGAATACTCATAAGTTAAAATAGGAATGAATCATCAAATTAACTATTTCTTATCTGACACATGCATGCATAATTCATATTAGATAGCAGGGTAGAATGCCATTGTGCTCCAATTGCAAAATACAGAGAGATAATAGAAGTATATAACACAATCGAACAATATTATTTGTCTAGACTCCTAGCTTAAACCAGCCGTATGTCCTGAGAGAAAAGTAGCTTCATATAAAGATAATTCAACCATTAACAGTTGTGGCTTTTTTATTCCTCTTATGAATTCCCTGAACGAATGCTGTAAATGGTTGAATGGCAAGAGCAAATGGTTGGTGTACCTTTACTGTAATACAGTGTATTTGTCATGGAAGGCTAGGAATGTGTGGGTGCACGAGAACAAAATTTCTAGTCCATCTGTTATTGCTTCAGATGCTGTTGTTTTAGCTGCAGCTTTAAAGAATTCGGCTTGTATTAATTCAGGAATAGAGAATGCTAATCAACCGGTTTGGTTGTTGAATTCTTGGCATCCTCATCAAATTAACTATTTCTTATCTAACACATGCATGCATAATTCAGGCGGCCAACAAATTTGCGACTGTCGTTCACAGGAACACGCACAGGATGATATTCCTCCTAATATACACAGCTTTGGAATGGATCTTAATCATTCTCTTCCTCATCAATGCTCTTTTCTCCTACATGATCTCCAAGTTCGCGTCTTTCTTCGGTTTGAATCCCCCCTGCATCTTCTGCTCGAGGATCGATCATCTCTTCGAGCCAGGAAAGTCCAGGAGCTCCTGCTGCGATATCCTCTGCAAGTCTCATGCCGGAGAAGTCTCCAACGAACGCCGACATGTTCTTTTTTGAGCCCAGCGTCTCCACTGGCAAATCTCTTCTTTCCACCCTTGAAATCACTACCCCAACCTTGTTCGCCGAATGAAATAGTCTGATCGCTGGATTCTAGTAAAAGGAAGAACGGAAGAAGAATATAAACACTTAAAAATCTAACCTTTTGCGAGAAACAGAGCTTCTCCGATATATATCTCAGGGGTGGCGGAAAATAAGTCCGGTAGGATGACGTGCGGTGGAGGATGCTTTTGTCGAAGGAGCCGAAGAAGCTTCTCGTGCAATGAAGCCGAACAGCACGACGACGATAGATACGTGAATGAGGGTGTTGCTGACAAAGAGGTTGGAGCGGAGAAGGCCGGACTTGAGGGCGACGGAGTGGAGCTGCTCGCCGGAGCAAACTCTCTCCGGAACTGCTTGCCGGAGCGAAGTCGAACAAGAACGAAGGAGCCGAAGTATCGTGCAATGAAGCCAAATAGCACGACGATGAAGCTTTTTTTTTCCGATGAATTTATAACCCGCTCAATACGAGCGGGTTTCTAATTCACGCAAAACACCTCATGTAATACACTCCTAATGCATCCAATGATTTCCTTTTGTTTCACTCAAAATTACCCAAACAACCAAATTTAATAAATACAGGTATTTGTTTTACTTTATACTCCTAATTCAGGCAACCAAACAGCCCCTATATAATTCTCTAAGTACGATAATTCTCTATACCAAAGTCCTATTTGAGATCTCCTAGGATATATAGAAGTAAAGATATTTCTATGTTTCTAAAGGGGCACAATGGATATTTATGTCAAAAATAAAGGCATTATCGA